GCCACAACCAAACTTGCTTGTGAACCTTTCGCCACAACAATCCCGCCCCCTTTAATTTCCAATCACATTCACTTTCGGAAATGAAACAGTTGGAACAGCCGCTTCCCTACGACTTTAACGGAGAAAAAAACAAAAAAAAAACAAAACAGAAATTTGGTTTAAATGAAAATGTAAAATATGTTTAAAGAACATTTGAAAAATTTTGAAAAGTTTTATCTGAAAAATTTAGGGAAGAAAATGTGAAAAAACAGAGAAAAAGATTCTCATAACTTTTTATTTTTTTAAAGTTAAATGTTTTGTTTGCCACCATAATGGAAGGTAATTCACTCCATATGTAAGAATATTTTTTTCCCCCCTTTTTCAGGATCAGATCACCATTACAGGGTATGAGCAGAATGCCATCGCTGCACGAGATGCCATCCAAAATATTGTGGGAGAGCTGGAAGAGATGATCACTGAGGAAATCACCCTGGACAGCAGGGTTCATGCTCGCATTATTGGAGCTCGGGGAAAAGGCATCCGCAAGATCATGGATGAGTTTAAGGTGAGTGTGCGGTGCCAAGTCTGGATCTACTCTAAACCTAGAGGAAATAAAAACTCTAAACTATTCCTGGAGAACTGAACTTTTGAAACTGGTTCTGTCTGAATGTCGATTCTGTGCTGAACCCTAGAAAATAAGGTTTTGCGATCAGGAAAGTCGTACTTTATCAGGTCAGCTAGTATTAAATATCCGTACCATTTGGAGACACAGAAATGTGGTTCTAATGTTACGCCGGCAGCAGGAACGGCTGATCCTTCATGTGGGTAGCTATGTCGAAACTTATCCGACAAATGTTTCAGTCTCCTCTTATCCACATTTTTTAAAAGGGAAAAAAAACCACATTTTAAAATGTAATGGCGATGCGGATAATGCCGGGGAGATCCGGGGTGGGGGAGGAAGTCTTCCACCTTATTAAACAAATATTAAAACTGTTTATTCTTGGACTTTTCTAGTTTAGTTTTTAAATTAATCCTGTATTTCTCTGCACTAGAGCCCCGCACTGCTACGGGACCCAACCCAAAGCAGTGCGGGACAAATATTGAAAGCTCATAGCGGCTGAGGGCGGGAGGAAGAGCGCACAGTGCGGGCGGGAGCGGTGATGAGCGGCAGTCCGGCGAACCAAAAACGCGTTTTTTATATATATATATATATATATATATATATATCACAATGTGCTGCATATTGCAGCTCGTGCCACCTAACGCGCATCATGCTCTATGCGGTGAAGAATCGGCCAGTAATGTGCTCAGCTAAGCACAGCGTGTTTAATTCCTCAAACTAATGACAGGAATCGCCTTGAGCAGTAGGTGAACGTCGGAATTATGTGGGAATTGCAGGCGGGACAAACTATTACAGGTGCAGGGGGGGGGTGCAGGACTGGAAAATCTGCGATGCACAGGCCTCTACTCTGCACCACTCTTTAAGAGGGATGTCCTGATAACTTTCATTTACAGCACTGATATTGGAGCTTTGAGTATTTACTGATATTGACCTGATAAAGCGTCTTTATAAATCAGTCGAGCTCTTATCGCTGCCTTTATAAATCAGTCGAGCTCTTATTGCTGAAACAGACATGCTGATATTATATTAAAAAAAATTATTTAAAACAATATATTAAAAGTACTTGTACTTCTGAAATCATTTTTTCCTCCGTCTGCGCGGTTCCTCTGCCGTATGGATTTTTAAGGTTTTCTTTCTGTGAGAATAACCTTAAAGTTTCTCTCACTCCAAACCTCCTTCCTGCTGCTCCTTATTTTTACTCTGCAGATTATAAAGCACTTTATTTTCTTTTCTTAAGCTTAGAGCGTCCTCTTGTGGCCGTAGACGGTAATATTTACTGGCTGTTCATGTCAGTTTGGTGGGATTAACTTTAAAAAAAAAAGGTTTATATATTTTGCTACAGAAATCCCACCTGTTATTAAAATGGCTACACTATGATGACTGGATTATAATTCTTTTGTTTTCTGTCCATCTTTTTAGATTGATCTCAGGTTTCCACAGAGCGGAGCTGCAGACCCGAACATTGTGGCGGTGATCGGTCGCCCTGAACATGTGGATGAAGCCATAGATCATCTCCTGAACCTGGAAGAGGAATATGTAAGCTCCTCCCTGCATGTTCAGTCACTCATGATGGCAAACCAAATGTCTGACATTTCTACATCATCAGTTGTCAGACGTTGTGGAAAATGAGGCGAAGATGGCGTACATGAGGCCACCGGGCGGCAGCGTCGCTGCTGCGGACGAGCAGCGCGGTCAGTCCAAAGGTTTCGTGGTGAGGGAGGCTCCCTGGGCCAGCAACAGCGAGAAGGTGAGTCTCTACCTGGATCGCTGCTTCTAGAACATCCCACCCTTTGGTTTTCATAACCGTTCTTCTTCCTTCAGGCCCCGGACATGAGCAGCTCTGAGGATTTCCCAAGCTTTGGAGCCCCAGTCCAGGCCAAGGCTTCCCCCTGGGGACCCAAACGCTTTTAAAGCTGTTTCTGCTGCCGATCAAAATAATAATGTAACAAATCTTCCCCGTCTGCATCCCCCTCCTTACCCTCTAGACCTGGACTGCCCGCTGACCCTCCAGAAAATCGTCCTCCATCATGATCTACCCTTTAGGGTCACCAGTCCAAACAGACAGAGCTTTCAGATCCTGTAATTCATTGAGCTTCGTATCTGCGTCACTCGCCGTCGCCTCGCCGTTCCGTCTAAAAAAACAAAGACTGAAGTTTTAAATGTTTAGACCAGACAAATCATCACGGTTTGAAACTGTTATACCAAATAGTGGTGACCAGACATCACTACGTTTTACGTGAGCTGCCCTGATCTTAGTTGCCTTTGCAGGAATGAGGGTGGGCGGGGCTTGAATCGGTGCTGTTCAGGCTCATCAGATGAAGGTTTCCACCCTCTTCCTGCTTCATCCATGTAGCTGAGTGGAATCACCTTATTTTTTCTAGTCTTCTGTTCCCAAGCACACTATAGTGGTTGTCTAACCGTGTCCTTCCATGTGCTCGTACCTGTGCTGCTCTGCAGATGATCAAACTTTAGCTCCCACCTTTGTAGCCTTATGAATGGGTGAGCTTTGATGGGAGGGGTGGGTGGGTGGGGGTGGGGGGTTTTAGGAGTGGGGGTTTGCTTTCAGCCACTGCAGAATGGCACCAACTCAAACTGCCAGATGCTTGGAGATCATGCCACACTTTAAAACTTTGTACAACACTAGGCTAGAGCTCCGGCGCATCAAACCTCACACTAACCGCTAACTAGACTCGTTGCATTTCAAAGTGAAATCACTCTAGGAAAGAAAGAAAGAGGACCACCATGTGCCAACTTCCTTACACGTCCTGTTGATTCGCCCTCTGTAGTGGGTCAGTGTCCAGTCCCTTTGTCTTCCAGTTGCTATGCAGAATCCTCTGTTCAGTAGCAATGATCCCTTTTATTTTCTTTTAATTTTTCTTTTTTTTTTTTTTTTTTTTAATTTGAGCCTTACAACTAGAAAGATACAAACCAGGTAGAGATGAGTTGCTTTCTGTAGACGACTGCAAAATGTTTCTCCGTTCTGTTAAAACATCGGAACCATTTTCTGCCCAGTTGTGTCGTTTGACTTGGAGTGTTAAGTTTAGCCCGATAGCATCTGCCTACCCTGGTTTATATCCTCCTAGTATCGAACGAAAGATTATGCAAATATGATGAAGTGAACGGTTATGGGCGACACTGGAAAAAAATGTCCAAAAGCCAATAAAAAAAAATTGAAAACATTGCTTGAATATCTGGAGTCATTTTTGGGGAAAGTTATTTATTTTTGGAAGTTTTTCTTTTTTGCAGTAATGTTTTTATCACTTTTCATTGATTAGGTCTAATATTAGGGTTCATTTTTATGGATGGACAAAGATGTGAAATGAAAATTTATTTCTAATTTATTTCTTTGTCAATAAATCTGGATAAAAGTTTCCAATATTTAGTTTGGTCAGGGTTAGTTGACTTATTTAATAAAATCTAGAGTGTTTTGAACTTTAAGGATTTTTGGTATCAAATATACATTCCAGAAGTACAAAGAATATTGTAAAAGTTTATTTTGGTCCCTCGGTTTATAAAAAAAAAATAAAAATTGACATCTGCAGGTAGATCTACAAAATATGAGAAGTTTAATATTAGAAACTCATTGGGTAATTCTAAAAGATGGCTTCTAGACGAGCTGTACCAGTGAGGCCGTGTTTCCATGGAGGCACAGAACAAAAATTACGTATTTAAATTAAGCCATAAAGTCATAGATGTAGACTGCTGATCTAACAGATAAAAACTTTATCTTAAAACTGTACTTGCCTGTAGTAAAAGTGAAGGATTCAATCTGTTTGAGTGCAAATCTAACCAGGATCCAACCAAAAAATCTTACCTACTTCTGAGATTCAACAAGAGAATATTCTGTTAGATTATTAATCTTCTATTGAGAAGATTCTACAAAAAATATAAGCAACAATCTTCCAATACAGTGAGCCGATTTCACGCGCTGAGACTTCTTCATATCAGGATTTAGATTCTCAAAACAAGATCAAAAAGACTTTTCAGCTGGATTGATTGAGACTTGCAGTACATCCTGATATAATCCCCCCTGGTAAAAATGATGGAATCAGCGGCCTTTCAGGATCTTCATTCAGCTGTTTCACTTTGTAGGAAAAAAAACAGATCATAGACGGGACACGCAACTAAAGTAATTTCAAATGGCAACTGACTTTAAGAGAC